ATTAGGCCTGGGGAAGACTTGCAACTGTCATACACTGTAGTGGTGACCAACAGCCTTTGCCCTCTGACTACCAGCCTGACACTGTAGCAATTTTGACAGTATAGAGTTGAAATAACCCATCCCAACAAGGTACTCATTTTTGCCTTGAATTGACACAACATGAATTTAAAAACTCTTAACTACTTTGAAAAAATATATCTCAAACTGCTCATGTGGATGCCATTTTTGTTCATCTATATTCACATATTAAGAGCTAGCAACTTTTAATATTTTTGTTTTGTTTTGTTTTGGCAAGGACATATTTTTTCCTTTTGAATGCTTTGGATGTTTAAGAGATAGCTAACATAAGTTAAAAATTTGTCATGAGTACTATTAATACTTATAATTAATAATAAACATTAATTATGCAAAAATTATTTGATGGCAATTTACAGCAATATGTAGGAAATGGCACCATGTCCCCCAGTGAAAGAATCCTTACCATATGAGGAGGTATCACTAAAACGAGGTTTGGTGATATGATGATTATGGCTTCAATACTAATGGCAATAATAATGCTACTAATAACAGAATACATTTTATTAGGTATCATCACTTTTGTTTAAGGACCAGGACCGTTAGTTAAATAAGGCTTCATAATTTTTTGGCATCAGACCTAAGATCTAAGTAGCTGGGTGACTTGTTTCAGATACTCTGCTTTTTCTAAGAAGTGAATTTGTCTCCTTCCAGGAATCCATTTCAATTAGTTCAGTGGCAACCTTTCCTACATGAGTTTTATCTTCATCTGAGATGGGCTCATTTATAATAAAGCAACTAAGCCAGTCAATTAACTGAAACTCTAAGAAGGCTATGCATACAGACCTGTTCACTAAACATGAGACAAAATATCAAGGATTACACCAAAAACGTTTTCAGAGTTTGTGGTTGTATAAACAGATTGATTCCCAAGGTCAAAGAAAAGATATCACAAAATATAAGATTATAGACACTTAATAGAAATGGAATAAATTATTTATATTGTATATGTGTTTGTGTGTGTGTGTGTGTGTGCGTGTGTGTGCGTGTGTGTATAATGTATATATAACTCCAAAGGCTCAAGAGATAGAGAATTTCATTTTTTAAATGAAATTCTCCATTTTGTCAGTGAGGTAGCAGGTAATGACCAAAGATGATATGCAGGAAGGAGCACTAAATGATCCTCTGCCCATCAAAAAATGTCTATATAAAGATGAAAAAAATTAAATATATATTTTCTACCCTTTAGAAAGTACAAGGGAGAATTTATTTACACTAAACTTTTTGTGAACTTTGTCAAACATCATCCCTAGATTCACTGGTAGAAAGATAATACTATAAAATTAAACACAAAGCAGAGAGGATAACAGAAGGTCTTTCTATCGTGGGTGCTGATTTTGTTCCAAGAGGCATCAGTAGACTTGGTTCTACTTCAGAGATATACTCCTTGTTTCAGAGAGACAGTGTGAACTTTCATTGTCAAGCTTGGAGTTCAGAAGGCACTGCGGAGGCGTGTGAGGAGCAAATGCTCATAAATGTCTGCTGAGTATAGCCAAGTTCAAAGAAGTCAGAGGTAGGCACTCCAACACACTGGTCTTTGTAATTTTGCTCAACTCAGGAAACTTCTTAATTCAGATGATTAGAGCCCCACTCTGAGCCCCACCTGCTCTAAGCCCCTAAAAATGGGTCAAACCCCTCCACCAGCTGGGTTTTCATCTTTACACAAAATGTGCATTATTGTGTTATTAGTACTGTATTATTCTCAAAAAAATGTTTTCATTCTAACTGCACTTCTTTTACTGTAAACAGCACTGCAATTTTATTATATGTACTTTAAAATAATTATGTCTCCCCAAAAGGAATTTTCTTACCTGATGTTTTTGTTTAAAAAGAACACTAGATTGTGCCTCACGCTCAAGAACTGTTATAATTTCATTGATTTTTCCAAGTAAGTCATAGAAGGATGTTATCTGCTTTTCTAATTCCTCCAGTGGAACCACCAGCTGCTGAGACTCATACAGAAGTGGGGAGTAGCACTCTTTGACCTTTAAAAATACAAAAACAAAAAATCCCATGAAGGGTCATTAAGTCCAACACGGGCAGGGCACTATGCATAGCTCTAGGGAACATTTTATTTAACGACATAGTCATTTGATGTTTGTGAATTTCTAAAGCCATTTCTCATTGATATTTCCTCTGTGTTGTTAAATTTTGGTGTCAGAAATCCATACTGCTGCACTACTAAGAAAAATAAATGACGATGGGGTTTTCTCATGAAAATTCATCCGAGTCTTCCATCTGGAGAGCACTTTTCCATCTAAACAGTGGTTGTCAGGGACACAGACGGCATCAGATTCCCTTCGTAAACCATGCAACTCATTTTCACTTTGAAATATGACCCAAGATAGTCACAAATTATGACATCACTTCGTGACCTGGGTCTTCCAGCTTTATTTTCAGGAACTCCCCTACTTGAACCCTGATTTCAGATAAACTTATGCACCTGTTAACTCACGCTTCCCTGATAACCCCTGCACTTTCCTACATCCCACTAATTTAACCACGAATATTCCCAGGCCAAGGGATATCTCCCCAGGTGAAACCGCCCAGCCTTCTTCTGTCACTTGTCTCTAAAGTAATTGTTGCTAGTCTGTGCATCTGCATTACATTCATGATGAAGCCATAAGCTCCTGAATGAAGTTCAAGAGCTCCATAGACTGTCGGCCTGCCTACCTTGATGCTGGACTCCAAGATCTGCAAATTTCCAGGAACTGCTCAACCCTTTTTATTTACCTATAGTTGCCTCCAACTTTCATCATCATTATTATAATAATTACGATTCCAAGCAACTATTAATGCTTTCAGACAGGTATGGAAAAGAAATTAATCAGCATTTATTAGTAGAATATTTTTTTTTGTTTTTCATAAAACACAAAGATGAGAAGCTAAGTAAAATCAATAATATTCTAAAAATAATCCTGGAAGTAGATGAAAACATTTCGTTATAATCTTAAATGCATAATAGTATAAGCTAAAATATTTTCATGTTTTAGAACATACCACCTGAAGGATCAAAAGAAAGAAACTCTCTCTGCATCAAGACTGCCAAAACTTGCTTGAACTAAATAAACTACAAGAATCAATGAATGTGCATAAAAAGCAGTGAGCTTTATTGATTTTTCCTGGTGCAACAGAAAACCCATCAAGATGCTGCATCTGAACCTGCAATAGGAAAATGTAAAGGCTTAAATGTATCTAAAGGTACAATTTGCTCTCTCAAGT